CAGTGGATGGTGTGGCAAGCACGAAGGGGTGCAGCTGTGCAGGCCCCTGCTTGGAGGCTGCTTTGTGTGGTGCTTGTTCTGTACTTTGGCAGAGGAGCAAGGTCTCTAGTTGCCATTTCCAGGCAGCAAGCTCTTCTCCCCATACAGTTTTCCACATCACATGCCAGTGAGCATTATTCTGTAAGTATGAGGCCTTTCCCTACTATTTTCACTCGCCTATTTTTTGTATTTTGTTTTTTCATTAAGGTGTTGTGCAGGAAGGAACATAAGCACATTCCTGTCCTGTCTCCTCAGCACTCACCACCTCCAGCATCCTGTCCTCTCCAGATCCCATCCTGTCTCTGAAAAGTTATCTGCACTACAGTTCCTCACTCCTTCCCTGACATGTTCAGTTTTATTTTTATGACAAACTTAATTTCAGCTGACTTGGTTTAGGTACCTTTGGTGGGAAGTTAAACTTTTTTTTAAAAAATGTAAAATTGTCACTGCTGTTTGACAAAGGCTGAATAAATCATGTCAGATTTCTTCTGTCTCCAGTTCAAATAATTCAGCCTTCATTTACCATCTTAACTAAAAAAAAACTGTGGGGGCTTGAGTTATCCTGGGTGTCTTCCTTCCAGAATCCACAGGGAGGTACTTTGTACTGGAAGTACTTTGCAGCTATGCAATAGCAAACGACATCTGTGTCTGAGGGGGGATACCCACTAACCAAAAAGCATGAAAGCCTGAAACAAATAAATTGACTCCCCATTAACTTTTTTCACTGTTAAGCAGGTATTCTTTATTAGCAGCGCTGGGGTCACCCTAGGGATTCTCCATCAGAAGGGCCCCCAAGAATTAGTAAGGGACATCGGTTTATACACACACAGATCATATATATTCATTAGATTTCCTAGAAAGGGGTGTCTTATGGTAATATGTTCCCAGAATTCATTTACGTAGTCTGAACACGCGTAGTGAAAATAGGGTGAGGGTCTTTGGTGGTTGAGGGAAGACGCAAGTAGTCTTCTTCACAGTGTTCACTAGTTGACCCTCTTTCCAGAGCATGCGCTGTGAAGTAAAGTCCAGGTGTCTCCCTCCTAAATCAGCAGAATCATCCTCCCTATAATTGGGTCTCTATGTCTCTTTCTTTGAGCCCCCCTTATCTTAGTTTTCCCATTCTAGGAGTTGGCCAAGTGTCCACTGAAGGCCTTGAGTCTGCTATCAGTGATTCACGTAGGGAGCTTAACTGGTGTTTCAATCTTACCTAAACAGACAAAGAGACCTAAGGAAACAGTTGAGGAGTCAGGAGTCCTGGAGAAACAAATGAAGAAAAACACAAGCAAAGCTTTGAAACAAACGAAGCAAAGCACAAACAAAGCTTTCATACATCACATCACAGTTTAGTCTTAATAATTGTCAGAAATTAATTTGAGCCTTTTCATTCCCTTTCAAGTCACTACTGAAATTTTGTCACAATTAGTAATAATTTCTTTCTTGCTTTTACAGCATGTTGTGCTATAAGGCACATGCAGGACATTAGATATGTATTTGAAACAGTATCTCGGTCCTCTTTTTTTCCTTGCTCCAAGTCTTCATTACCCACCATCAATATTTTATCAGTGATCTGCAGGAGAGGTTTCTACTTTTCCACAGTTCTCTAGCTAGAAGCCAGTTATTAATTTATATGTATTCATTGATCTGGCAGGAATGGACATGGTTATATTTCACAGTTGTCAGGGCTGCTGTGGTTGGTGATGGTCAAGTCATTTGACAATTGTCCAAGTCCCCTATAGCATTGCTTTTCAGCTTCATCCCTAGTACACTGGATTCACATTTCAGGTTCAGCTCAAAATTCTTGCTTGGTATTTTGCAGAAGCTCAGACTGGATTAAAATGTTTCTATGGTGGCTAATAGCTGAGCTCTTCTGAAGAGCTGATAATGGCATTCATTGCCCTCAATTTTACTTTTAGAGGAATCCAGGATGGAATCTGAATTCCTGAGATTCCTGAACTATTTGATAAAAGCTCCCTTGTTTGTACCGTTTGGGAAGGATATGCTTATAATTTCGTTCCCTTTGCTGAAGCTTCACAGCTTCCAGCTATTCTTTACCTGTAGAAGTTTTAGTAGCATTGCAGATTAAAACTTTGAACAAGCCAATTGCTGTTCTGCACAAATCAATTCCAAGGCAACTAGTTATTTTGTCAACATCAGTAAATCTTGTCTGGGTTTACCTTCCAACTTTCTGAATATATTGCAAGATGTATTTGTTGCTGAACCTATTGCTAGGGCTTCCTAAAACCAGCTGTCTGTTAGGGAAGAGGCTACCACAACTCCATGCCCACAGGTGCAAACTAGCTGTGGAGCTGAGTGTGTATTCCCAATAGGTGTGTACAGAAACATGCACACACAATGCACTTGTTATAATCAGACAAAGCCAATTTTTATTAAAAAAATATATTTTTTTTATTTGGGTTCAATCAATTTAGGGTGGGAAGCAATAGGCAAAGCAGCACTGGGTGCATGGAGAGCCGCAGCTCTGCCACACGTGCCCTGAGTTCCAAAAAGCAGCGGTTTTTATACTCTTGTGCTATTGTCTTTAACCAATCTCCTCCCGTCAGATAGTTGTCCTGCTCTTTTCCATTGGGTCATTTGGGTTGCTGGGGTGCATGACCTCCTCCTATTGGGTCTTTTGAAAGTCTCGAAGCCTTGGTCTCCTGGCGCGCTTTTCTCCTATTGGATCTTTTAAAAGCCTCATGATCTCATCCTTTTGGCGGGCTTTTCTTCAAACAGCAGTTTCATGTCAGCGTTAGGTGGGGTTTCTGAGACAGGGTTACATTGTTCCAATCTGAATGGCACACTTTACATTTAATTGTTTAACTTTTACAGATCATTCAAGTATACCTACCCGCCTTGCCCAGCCTAGCAAATTAGTTACAATAGTTTATTACAGCACTCGCCTTGCTTAACCTAGCAAATTAGTTACCATAGTTTATTACACACTCATACATACACACACAGCAAGACCCATGGATGGGCACAGACAGAAACACTATTGCTTATGTAAATACAAACAGCACCAACGGCCTCATCCTGTTCCCATTTCTGACTCATCAGGATCATGGTCTGTTAGTCGGAAATATATACAAACGTGCAATGTGGGTCCATCCAGGTGATGGCCTTAGAAATTCATTCTGCCCTAAAAATGACTCTTGGGTCACATCATCTCCAGCTGCCTCATGCATGGAAACATACACATATACATGCACATACATGCAAATGCATCACTTGATTGACCCAATGGTCTCTCCAGCATTTAGTCCAGATCTCCTTGTCCCACAGTTGTCCCTCAAACAAGGTTCATCACCCAGTGTGCAAAAAGCCAGTCTTACACACAGATATCAGTTTATTCCATATTTGTGCAAATATAGGTGCTAGGTGGTAATTCTGTCACCAAACGGGATAAAACAACTTATTGACCCCAATGTGATGTAGATGAGCAGACACTTCTTTACTAATGGCCGTGTGTGTAGGGGAGTCTCTCACCAACAACGCACATCTAACTTGTGTAGCGTGCTGATTATATAGGATATAATGATATATAGTAAACAGATTCTCATACATAAACATGATAATTCCCGTAACTCATTCTCTTATTCCCACCTCTTTCCAGTCATGCGCACTTGAGTCCTGAAATGAGTCGGGGGGCTGCTTGTACAACCACCATGGGCCACTGACTCGAAAGAAAGACCCCTCAATGTCCTTGTCTCAAGAACTTTGGCTCATGTTACAGTTTTAACATACCTCGAGGTCCTTTCACAACGTATCCTTAGAACATCCTGGTCAACAGGGCAATAAATTGTCCTTACCGAACAGCCTAACAATAGTACCTGGTCATGAACCTTATTCTTTGAATAGAAATCTGGTTAATGATTATTACTGGCCTACACAGCCTTAGCCTGGGATTTCAAAAGGGACTTTGTAGCAGCATGAGTTGGTTGTATGGTTACTCTAAACGAAATACAACATTTCTATGACTACTTAAAACATTACACAACTATCTTTTCTAACTATTATAAAACTAATACTCCTGTAAAATTTTATTGAATTGATTAGGCCTAATCATTCCTTAATTAAATCAAAATCACCTCAAATCATTAGAATCAGCCCAAATTAATAACAAATCATTAACAATTCCACTAAGCTAGCACCCTACACATAGGAACTACAGCCTATTTATCTTGTTATGTAATTAGTAAAAACCTATCTAAGTTTACACTCATTGGTCCGTAATTGCCATTCCATCTGCTATTGGTTAGTTATATTTAAATTAGCCTTGCTTGCTGTGTAAATTAGTGCACATGCCCCTTATAGATGTGAAGGGGAAATTTTTTCAGTCTTGAGTCAATGGTTGCAATCTCCCATTGTGATTTTTTGCCGACTTCATGCTTCTTGGGCAATCATGTAATGTCTGGCACCTTCTGGGGCAGGATGTTCCCCTTTTATCAATCTTTTAACTCCTCTTCAATGGTATAGTCCTTAGCAAGGCCTGCATCTTACCAGGCTTACACAATAGAGACAGTGATTAGAGGTCCTTGTACTTGATGAGAAACAGTTGTATGGGCTGTACCACTGGTAGCTGGCTCCTCTGTTTGTGTCTCAGAAGCACACACTTGTGCACCCTGGCTCCCAGGCCTTTCACCTTCCTCACTGGCTTGATACTTGCTGGTGATCACACATTGACACCTGCACACTCACTTGCTGCAGTTGCTGGTGATTCGCAGAAACAGACTCTACAACTCAGAGTTATAAAGCATGTATGTTTATTCCAGCGCCAGGGTGCAAGGGGATTTCTCCACAAAGCTGGCACACCCCCAGCACATTTTACCAAAAACTATTTATAGAATGTGGGTATACATATCCATTGGATTACACAATACAAATATACCTATGCATAAGCAAGGCTGGGCTAGTTTGAAATGCTGGTGTCAGCATTTATGTTTTCTTTGCGCCTGCGCATTGCCTCCTGGTGGGCCTCTCCGGGGGTCTTTTGGAGGAAGGCTGACAGTCTTTCTCACCTTGTACTTTTCCGTGGAGCACACGCAGATTCTCTTAGCCTATTTCTTGAACAACAAGTGTGGTTTCAGCCAGTTTACTCATTCTATCTTATCCAAAGGTACCAGTGTATCAGTTTCTACCATCCGTATATGGCTATCTATTCATTACAAAGACTAAACTAGTTAGAGCCCATCTGCTTTACAAGGACAAGAAACTTATTCTTGCCGAACATAGTAATGCTTGTTAAGTTTGCACAGAAAACTGCTTCGTTTTGATAAACACAGTAGCAGTAGCCCTTGGTAAGCTTCCACAGAACAGTCAGGGCAAGCAGGATTATTAAGCAATATTCAGAAATCGTTATAAATTGCTGTAAGTAAATAGGTTGCAAAGTAGGTGATCATTTCCTTGTATCACTGGTACAACTATGGTGAAGACTGTGGTGATCTGATGCTAGACAAACGTACTGGCCAGTCCTGCTTACATGTGATCAGCCTACTTTTTCTCTCTTATCCCTCTATTATAGCAAGCATGTTTTTCTCCAAAACATCTTGCTCTCTCCCTTCTCCCACCTCCAGTTCCCTTTTAAACAATTATAAGTCCTGTGCAATCCTCAAATGCTATTCCCCTGTGTCCCATAACGAGTCTCATACCCCCATTGGTGGTACCCTGTCTGGTGTTGGGTGTCCTGCTGGCCCCTGGGGCTGATGATGCCTTGGAACAGCCCTGAGAGGGCACAGGGCTGGGTGTCCTCCCTCTGTTATTAGGCTGATATTTGAGCTCAGTTTCCTTGACCGGGTGTTCAGTTAGTTCAAAGCGGAGGGATTTGCCTGTGATACCCGCAAACTTTGTTATGTAATATAGGCTTAGTCTGGGTTTATTGTCATAAATGGTTGTCTGTGGATAATGAAAAACACTTGCTGAAAAATAACATACACATATGGGTAAATGCTGGTTTTGTCCGTTAAAAATTTAGAGTGTTGAATAATTAATTTTCCCTTTCTGTTCCTTGAGGTTTGTGGTTGAAGTGCTGCACATTACACTTAATTAGCAAACATAACAGAATAGTTCAGTAATAATTAGGTAAGTAAAGAAGCAGTTGTTCAGTAAGGGTTGCAAATAAACCAGACTAGACACTTTGCTTGATTTCACACTCTGTCCCCTTAACTCTCAACTTTGTAGAGAACCAGCCTGAAGGAAAATTTTCCCATCAACTGAGAATGTGTCAGCCATCTGGTAGAGCCTCTGTCCCCTTACTGGCAAAACCAGAGGTTTTGCTGTCTGTCGTCTCCACTGCAATATTTATCATCAGCCCTCTGAACATGGCATCTTTCACTTACCCAGCATTTTATGAGTCCTTTGGGGAGTTTTTTAGGTACTTGTTTTTATTCTAGAAAAAGATGTATTCTGCCTCGTAATGTAGTATCATTAGCACACTTGGAGCCTGGTGATTTCTTAGAAATTTTCTCTTATCCTTTTTCAGGGTCATTGCTATCCTATTCTTTCAAAATACTGGCATTAAAAAGGAGGTTTTTTACATACACTACAGTGTTTCTGATGGTATTGATCTGTGGCATTTTGTCCTTATTCAGATTTTGGCAACAACCAGTACTCAGCTGAGATTACATATCTGATCTTGTAGATTGAGAATATTCTTTTGATTTATGTCCTTGGGTGACACTAGACTGGCACCCAGATTTTCTGAAGAGATGTGCATCGTGATTCTGTCATTATTGTTTGGCAAGGTGTTTACCTGCTTGTTCCTCCCTCCATAGCTTCACAGCTATCACTTATGCTTCAAGTTTGGAAAGAGTTTGTATAATATTCTGAAATAATTGGGTTTGCTCAGATCAGTGTCAAGGTTTGAGCCCAGAGGGCAGCTGAGTACCACACAACTGTTCACTCACCCCTCCCTCCCCAGCACTGGGAAGGAGAAAAATTAATCAAAAGGCTCAGAAATCCAGATAAGGACAGGCAGCCATTAGCATTCACAGGCAAAAAACAGGCTCCTTATGGGAAGAAAAGAACATCACTTTAAGTCAAAAACTAACAAAACCAACACTTATCAGACAGAATGGGACAGGGAGAAACATTACCATATCTTAAAATACCTTCCCTCAACCGTCCCTTCTGCCAGGGCTCAGTTTTATTCCTGATATTTCTACCTCCTACCCCAGCGGAACAGGGGCAGGGGATGGGGGCTGCAGTCAGTCTGCTGCTTCCTCCTCCAAGGTTGGGGGGAGTGCTCTTCTGCATTCTTGCCCCTGATTCACATGGCACCCCTTTCACAGGAGACGGTCCTTCACAGACTTCTCTCTGTTGTGAGTCCTCCCCATGGGATACATTCTGCTTGAGATGCTCTGGTGTGGTCACCTCCACATGCTGCAGTCCTCCCAGCACCCAACTACAACAGAAGGGGCTGCTTTCTCCCACAGAGTCCTGGGGGTCCTCCACAGGCTCACCTTCCCCCGCTTCCTCCTTCTACTGACTTCAGTGGCTGCATAGGTGTCCTTCCTTTAACTCATCCTCAAAGTCTCCACCCCATCTCAGATTCCTCCTCTTAAACACATTATGACAGAGGCATGGCCACCATTGCTAATTGGCTTGGCCTTGGCCAGAGGCAGGTCAAACTCGGGGAGCTTTCAAGAAGCTTCTTATAGGGAGTCACCACTGTAGCCCCCTCCCCTGTTACCAGAAACCCCACCACACAAAGCCAGCACACAGACAAGCAGGTATGCAGGCAAAACTGGTACTGTGACATTTGTTTTTTACTTCACTAACTATCTGAATCATACCAATAACTGTACCTTAGTTTTTTTGCTTTAGAGGATGCTACTGTGGACTAAATGTGAAAGGTGCTGTGTGAAGAAGGAAATTTTTTCTGGTGTTATCTATCTTCTACCTTTAAACACTTTTAGTGTTACTGTAAAAGCCAGCAGAGGAACTCTCTAAGACTTGTTTTGGGGTTTTAGAAAACAAGCATTCTTTATTGCCGCTCTGAGCACACACGCGAATAGCTCCGCAAAGATGAGTGTGCCTCAGATCTGTAAGCGGCAGCTAATATACAGTGAGATAATGCATGTTCATAACTTCCAAGAAATGAGTTACATATGCATTAGATTTCCTGGAACTAATTACAATATCTGCATCCTAATTACACATGCGCTTTCTTGCAGGGTGGTGGTCTCGAGGGGGCCCTGATGGTCTTGGTAGTCTTCCTCACTGTGTCTGCTGGTTGCCTTCAGTGCTCACGCATGCTCACAAAGGCCTGTTTAGGAGGTGTTGTGCAGCTGTGTTGTATCTTGAGCTGGTTTGTTTTAATTTGTCCTGTCCTTGTTCCTGTTATCTTCAGGAATAGGCCCCAACTGTCTTATTTATTACTGTCTTATCTTAAAGCCCCTTTCTTCTTCATGAAAGCACCAACCTTCAGCTGTGCCTGCACATACCAGAAGCTGCATTGACACTGACCTAATTTATTCTCAGTAAAAAAATATTTAGCAAGATGAAAAAAAAAAAAATGTTAGCAAGACATTTTGGCTTACATTAGCGTTAGGCATGAGAAGCATGACTGAGGTTTTTTTCTTCTTGGGAAATAAACATTTAAAATTAGAATACAAAATTACTGGAGTGGGTAATATCTGGGAAGATTTCTACAGGATCTGTAACTTCTCATAATTAATTTCTTTAATCTAGTAATTATTAGCTATGTATTGCAGTCTTTTTAAAACAGCCTGAGGAATACTATTCTTTGTGTTATATTTATTAATAATTTCAATTGTTTCAGACTTGGGTTTGAAAAGCCTACAAAAATGCTTTCTTAACAGGCTAAATAAGACTGCAGTTGGCCGCCTTAGTAAGCTCAGTACACTTGAAAATTTCTTTTCATTTAAGCTGTTTCCCAAAACTGCTCAGTTTCTGATAATCCAAGACAAATGGTACAGAATATACAGGAAATAAATCATAAGAAGAGCTGCATTTGATACAGAAAAGGCATTTGATAGTGTAGGATGGGATATCACACTGCATGCCTGAAATGCTGGGGTTTCAACCCCAAGCCCCAAATTAAGGTTGACATCTGGGTGATTCCCACAGCCCTTCACAAAGAGGGGGTGAGTTTGCCTTTAAGCTTCCCTCCAGGGTGCTCTGGCCTGGCAGGGAGAGCCATTGGGTAAATGAGCCCCAGGTGTCTGCATCAAGTAAACAAGGGTCAGGTGTCCCACTGAGGGATAAAAGCTGGGACCATTGCAGGGAGGGGAATGTCTGTCTGTGAGGTGGATGCACTTTGTAGAATTTCCTGTTGGAGGAAGGACCTCCTGCCTCCCTGGGACTGGGCTCCAATCAGGTCAGGCTTTTGTAAATGTGGGCTGTGTAGAGATTCAGTATGTGGCTTCCTTGGTTTTATGGGTTTGGCTTGTTGACTCGGTTGTTTCCCATCCCTTCTATGGGAGAGTGTATTTTGCCCATTATTCCACCCATTGTTGGTCATTCAGTGTCATTGTTGGGGTCAGTGGGATTGATTTTGTTTATGTATAATCTGACTTGTTTGTGCCCCCAGTGCTTACCCATGTACTGACCCTTTTGTATCAAATACAATTTGGTCATTGGTTCATCTTTATGCTGGCTGTGTCCTTTATGCTAGGCCTGATAATTAGCAAAACAATGCCACAGACACCTTTAACACTTTTAGGTTTGAAAGATGTCTATCTACAATCTGTAGTAATTCTGCAGTGGAAACACAGACTTCCTTTAGGTAACAAAGCAGAAACCTTTGTTATATTGATTACCACAATCCTGAACTTTACAGCTTCTGCAATTACTTCCACTAGAAAAATAAACCAGAAGAGTGAAGTCTTTTGATGAAGATATATTTGCCCTTTTTTTATTTATGAGAAAATAATGAATAGTGCAGCATATCTTCATGCTGGAGAATGCAAAGTTGGTAAGACAGCACTCCTCTCCCATGCTATTTCACTGACATTCATCTCTAACTCTTGTAGGGCAAATGTCTTTGGCAGTAACCAGAAAAAACTGATATTGTGAAGGCGGAGCTGCTAGTAGAGACAGTAGTTGGCCTGTTTCTCCCTTTCTTTGACACTTTGCTCTCCTGCATTACTTCCTGTGTCAAAGTCAGTTCTTTGCTGACTGAAGAGACGAGGACTTTCAGTATAGAATGAATAAGTAAATTTATTTTCTTATATTAGCTATGTAAAAAGTGGTGCCCCAGCCCAATGCATGAAGGATAAGGGGTGAGGTGTATGACTGATCAGGGACATGTGGTCAGGCACCAAGGCTGCAGTTATATGCTTGGTCTCTTTAGGCAAATATCCTATTGTTTTATTATTAGTATGCAGTGTTCTCAGCCAGTCAAAGTCTGTTTAGGTTGGGTTTTCAGGTCACGTTGACCCCAAGATTATAAATCCATAGTCCCAGGTAGTGTTTGTTCTTAAGTCATATTGCAGTTAGTGCCTTGCCTTTCATATGTGACTCTTGCTTTTTAGCTCCTAAATGGCCATTTCTAGTTTGTTGCACTGTATTGATTGCTAATGCCTGCCTATACTGTAGAGTAACTGTACGGCTGTTCTTGTTTTCCACCGTGAATCATGCTCAAAGCATCTGCCTTTGGAGACAGTCAGTAGAGGGCCTCCTGTCCTGCAGAGACATGTCTTGGAAGAGTCAACAATGATGTCTTAATTTCTGTTCAAAATTTTTTTTAAAAAATAAAGGTCATCAAGGGACACTGCCACCAAAGAAAGAAAAACAGAAAGAAATAATTTATTTCCACAAGGCCATAAACTGCTTTGTGAGCTTGCAGAGGTTACCCATGACTGTTGGCAACTTGACCCCAACCTTTCCCGAGAGTCACTGTAGTAGCTCACCTGAGAAATCTCCATCTTAGTCCAGACTTGCAGGAGACTTTTGTCATCTATGGTCCCAAACTGGTGAAAATCTGCTAGTAACGTTGAGGAGAGAGGTGAATCTTCTCAGTGGGTAGCCCTCTACACACAGAGACATCAAAATGAGTCATTATAGTGCTAAAATTAGCCAATGATCATATCTTAAGATCTTGAAAAGTAAGTTAGGATCTGATTCGTGGAAAAAGACTCTACAACTCAAATAGAGTTATAAAGCACGTATGTTTACTCTGGTGCCGGGGTGCAAGGGGATTTCTCCACAAAGCTTGCACACCCACCGCACATTTTACCAAAAACTTACAGAGTGTGGTTATCCATATTCATTGGGTTACGTCACACAAACATACATAGGCATGAGTAAGGCTGGGTTAGATCGAAAGGCTGATGTCAGCAGTTTGTCATCTTTGCATCTGCACATTGCCTCTTGGGGGGCGTCTTCAGGGGTCTTTGGGAGGAAGGCTGATAGTCTTTCTCACTTTGTTTTTTCCCCGGAGCATGTGCAGATTCTCTTGGCCAATTTCTTGAATAACAAGAGTGTTTTTCAGACGGTTTACTTTCTGTCTTATGTAAGTGAACCGATAGAACTTCTACCATTCGTCTATGGCTATCTTTACTCATTAGCAAAATTCCAACTAGTTAGAGCCACCTGTTACTCAAGGACAAAACTATAATATTTTGCTGAACACTGTAATCCTTAGTAGATTTTCACAGTGAACTGCTTTGTTTTGATGAACGCAGTAGTCCTTGGTAAAATTCCACAGAACAGTCTGGGCAAGCAGGATTCTTAGCAATATTTAAAAAAACCACTATAACTTCCTATAAATAAGTAAATAAGTTGCTAAGCAGTTTTCTATAAGTAAATAAGAGAATAAATCTCAAAACAAGTAATCATTTCTCTGTATCAGATTCTAACATACAAAAATGATGCATGCTGCTGATAAGGATCATGGGGAAAGCTTCACAGATACTAAGGCATGAGGAACAAGTGTGCAACAGACCATAGCATTTTATCCAGTAATTCTTGTGTGTAGACAAGATGAGTCACGTGTGGTCTTAACATTAAACATGTGCTGAAATATTTTGTTCAAAGAAGACTGGCTTCTTTTCAGTGTTGTGTTTTTTCCTCTCTCCTCCTTTCCTGGAGCAGGTTCAGGAAGAGGTAGAAACAATCTCTCGGTAGTCCTCAAGTAATTAGCACAGTTGGAAGGAATGATGGATAACAAAGAGAAATGAAAATTTTGTTGAAGTGAACTGTTCAGGTCACAATCCCTTTTGTTTAGTTTCATTTTGGTGGTGTTTCGTATAGATTTGGATCTTGTGGAATTAGGGTTGTGATTTGGGGGAAAATGTATTAACAGAGATAAGGTAAAACCAGCAAAATATTTTGAAGGGATCTCCTTTGATTAAACTGTTGGTTTTTTTTTTTTCTAAAAGATGCTCAGTTGAGTGGCAAATGAGTTTGGAGTTGTGATGTACATATAGTAATTTCCCATGTCTGCTGATGGTCGTCTTCATTATCTGTGATAAGAGGAGCTCAAATAGAATAAAAGCAATTTTTGGTGGGTTTGCTTTAAGATTAATTTATGACTGTTTGGGTTATGCATCCATTTGCATAAACAGAAGTTGAAAAGCTTAAAAAAACCCATAAATGTAATTTTCCTTGGTAAAAGGCAATCTAAGAAAAAGACAATGAAAATGAAGAAAGGATTTTAAGTCTAAGTGAAAAATCAGAGCAGGGGTGAAGGTAGTTGGATGATATGCAGTACAAAGGACATTTTGTATAGAACATAACAATATGAATGAATCTGTCAGAAAAGAGCAACAGAAAATAAATACACGTACTTGGATTTTTGCTAATATTTTCCTGAAGGAGACATGTTCCAATGAGTGATTGAAAACTGGTTCTTTGGGATATGTCCCCAGAAAGGAGACAATACTTCAAGCAACATTCAGTAGTTGTTAACTTAAATTATTTTTGTTATTAAATAAAGCTTAAGGAAAGTTTTCACAGGCAATAAAGTGTGCAAATTCTGAATAACTTAGGAACAAAGGGCTCAGTCCTGTATTTGCTTAGTTTTATAATGTATATAATGCCATTGAGGTCACCATAAATAAAATCACTGAGTAGTACCTAAAATGGAAAGAAAAGCATCATATGTTCATAAAAGGAGAGTAAGTGAATAGGAGAAGAAAGCACGCAAGCTTGACAAGTTGAGCTGGGAGAAAATCAGGTTGTAATTAATGAGCTAATGGATAAAGCAAAAAAATAGCTTATAAAAATATTAGAAAGCTTAACATAATAACAGGACTGAACACTCAGGATCCTTGCTGGACACACAACAAATATTTAATATAAATTCACACAGTTCAAGAGAAATTAGCACTAGGTAAAACTGCTTCCAGAAATATCTGAGGACATATTTCATAGAAAGGAAAAATTACTGTGCAGATCCTGTTTAGACACCATTGGTGTATGACTATATGTGCATATGCAAAGTGAAAATTCCTCTTCACTTGTCAACGTATTTTCTTTTTTGGAGCGTATAAAGTACGTTTGAGCATTTTTGTTTATTTCTATGACTGGTTTAAGCCAACCATTGATACAACTGATGACATTCACATGAGATGTAAATATTCTATATTATGGAATATCATGTGATTATAGAGCCGAGTTGGATGAATAAAGATCTGCACTTGCAAATACTTGTGTATGGTAATTTTAATCAGACATCTCTGAGTTACTTTACCTAAGTGTGCGTTCTTTCTTCAGTTCCTGGCTATTCAGTGGTGTACCCATGAAAGATTTAAAATTTTGTAATCGCTTTTTGGATAGCAACTATGACAGTGAAATCAAGCTTAGGGGATAGAGTTGAGGTTTGTGCACCTAGATTTGTAGTGTGATAAACTGTGCTGATTAATTGTGGCTGCAGAATACACAAGTTTATTTTTGTTTAGAGATGTCAGTATCCATCTCTACTTGAAGAGAAGTCAAAGCAAGTTTGATATGAGAATTACACTCAAGGTCCATGTTATATACTGTCATCATAGATCTTAAGCTTTAAAGTAGCATGTTATCACTTTTCTAGTAATTAGCTCACAGTTTTATTTACCACCTTGGAATATCCTTAACTGTTATTTTGAGAAAAGAGTAAATTAAGAAGAGGAAATGAGCTTTGTCTGATCATTCAATCCTATAGAAGTTTATGACTGGTAAAGAACAAGATGTCTTTAATCCTTTTGTGGTGGGTTTTGGGGGTTGTTTTTGTGTTGAATTTTATAGATCCCAGTCTAGAGAATTCAAAGGGACTGCAAATTTCAAAGGGTCTTAAACTGTAACAATAAATCAGTACAAGAAGTATGTCAACCGCAAAATTAATACTTGTCTGAGATGTTTAATGTATTTTATATTAGAAGTGACAGGAATGTCACAGCTTAAAAAAAAAATTTGTAAGGCAAACAGTCATTTCCTATGTGTGGTGATAATCAAATTCTAGTCCCAGCCCATGGAGAAACTAGCTATTAAACAGGGTGAAAACTTTTTTCTGTTATCTTCAAACAGACTAAATCCATGGCATTAAATTCAAGATATGAAGGATATCCTTATAAAATTAACAGCAACAACAACAAAAAAACAATCCATGGTAAGAAATTAATCACTGAGGGGTTTTCCTCAAGCTTTGTGATAAAGAATAACTGCTTGAAGTTTCCATTCTTTTATAAAGCCCTGATGACTCAAAAGTGAGCATGGGGGATTTTGTGAGATTCAGGATCACAACATATTTTATGAGGTTTAAAATGTTCAGTGAAAAGCAGTATGTAAATCTTTGTTCCTTATGTTAAAAAGTGAATCCAACTGAATTAATGTACTTCAAGCTACCTTCCTACAATGCTTTAAGCAATATTAGTGAGATAATGCTAAAGGTCTTATAGAAGTGGGAATGTGCTTTAACTATAAAAAGTTATATTTTAGTACTGGAAATATTTTGAAGTGTTATCCATTACATTAATTAAAATAATTTAGTAATTCAGTGTAGAATAAAATTTGGGAAACACTTTCCAGTGCTTGAGGCTTAGCTAGATTAAATTTACTTGAAACAAAAATCAGTATATACGGAAAGTGAATTTAAAAACTCACGATCAAATTGACTTTGAGAGTTTTGTACATGGAAAGCAAAGTCAGACCAGAAGCTGTAGCAGTGATTGCTTGATGTTACAAGCAGAGTTGAGAATAAAAAGTCAGGCTAGAAAATCTGCATTCATTTTGTTAACAATGTATATTTTTAATTAATGTGACTAGGATGTGAAGACCTTAAGCAAATGTTAATGCTGGTATGGCCCGTGGAGCTGGAGGGCTAGTGGCTCCCAGCAGTGGTGACCAGGCTTAGCTGAGTGGCTGGGTGGGGGGTAATGCTGAGACATCCCACGGGTGAGGGGAGCGAGCAAGGCGCTGGGCTGGGCAGGGGACTGTCCACAGCGTACAGATGGTTCTAGGCAAGGACCAAGGCATAAGTTGATGTGTGGAAACAAACTCTACAACTCAGGTATAAAGCGGGTATGTTTATTCCGGCCAGGGTGCAAGGGGATTTCTCCACAAAGCTTGCACACCATCTCTGACAAGTAGCCAGATATTTCTTACAACAAAACATACATATTCATTAGGAAGGGCTGTGTTATTACAATTAGTTCGGGGAATAGGTGTGATTATTATAATTATTCAAGGGGAGAAATATGTGGTCCTCTTCATGGTGTCCCGCTGTTAAGCAAAGTCTGGATGTCTCCTTCCTAAATCGGCAAGATCATCCTCCCTAGATAGCATCTCTGAGTCCTTTTGTTCAAGTTTAAGTTTGCCTAAGTGCCCATTCAGGGCTTTGCTTTTGTTATCGGTGAGTTGCCCTTTTAATTCATACCCCCGGGCTACTTGCTACTTTCTTATAGCCAATCCTCAAGCTATCTGGTAAGCCACAGTGAATCCACAAAACAAGCCTGGACAAGCAGGGTTCTTAGACAACGTTCAGAAGTCATCATACTTTGCTATAAGCAAACAATTTTCAAGGAAAGTGGTCATTTCTCTGTATTAAAGTGCAGCTCCAAACCCAGGGATGAAAGCCCATATTGAGGCTTCTCATACCTCCTCACAATTTAGCTCTTTCCACCCAGTCCAGTCCAAGATTACAGCTGCCTTGTGTCAGGACTCACCTAGAGGAAGAGGTGGCAGGGCCTGTTGGCGGGCCAAGGACGATCCTAGCCTAAACGGGGAGGTCTAGGTATGGAATCATCCACAGAAACAACCAAAGGGGGGATGTGCAAGAGGTGTGCTGATAACACCTACATTAGCAGATCATCAGGATCCCAAGGCACCTACATGAAATTTCTCAGGACATCACTAGAAGAAAACAAATGTAAGCCTGAAACAAAGGCCAGTCTGCAGCCCTTAAGAGATATAGTGGGAAGATAACAGGGCTTGAGGTAAGTAACACCCCTCTAAAGAGAAAAAGGGGCAGTGTAAATCCTAATGACTCACAGAGGTGAGACAGGATGAATCAGAGTCCCTGTTCCTCAAGGGTACATACATCCAAAACCAACCTGAGAAGAG